TAGTCTTTGTGGCCTGAGGCCTCCAGATTTCCGTACGGTCTATCTGAATTTATTTGCATACAAGATGGTCCGTAAATGTCTTCGGCCCAATCTCTGGAGAACTGACCTTGGTTTCTAGTACGAACACAAATCGAAATGATCTTTTACAGGACAACGGTGTTACGATCCGGAGGCCTTGCGGGAGGAGGAGAGCGGGAGCGAGATTGGAGGAGGAAGTGATTTTGTCATTCTTATCTTTTCCTTTGTGCTACAGTCCGCGTCATATACTGGCGGCTCGCCCACTGGGTGATTAGACTGGAGGTGTTGGGCCGCGTTTACGCTGGGCAACACATGATTTACCCTCGGGTTAATGGTCTTTGGTAAACTGGCAATAGGCCTCGGTTTGCCCTCGATTAATGGTTAGAATCCCACACAGTCTTGAACGGACAGCCAAAGCACCCGTGATCTCGCCCAGAGAGGAACCTGTCGCCGAAGGAGGAAGCGTGACGGTTTGTGGTTAGAAGAAACGATAAACATACAATGTCGTGAATGAAGAGTCATCCAGAAGCCGCTCGAAATGTTCACCTGTATTCAGAAAGGCTTTGAACACGAGTGACAATGGTGTCTTTTGGGAGTTTGGTATTTGGTGAAGCCATTCCAGTAACTGACAAGCCTAATAAGAGGGCGATAACGATAAGTGATTCTTATCTCGATAAGATTGGCAGATAAGATGAAGTGATAAAGGACGATAAGCACGAACACGACATCATCCCAAACAACAGTCAACACCTCAACGTCTCTTCGATCACACATACAGCGAGCGCGACACAAACTTTCGGTTTTGGCCATCGATATATTCCATCACACAATCCACTCACCATAGATGTTGATCTGCGTGTACTCCAGCAAGAGATACGAACCCTGGGCTCCTTACGCCTCCTGACCCTTTCGCAACAATGGGCGCCTTGTTAATCCTGGACGGGGACAATAGACAGAGAAGACTCTCGCGAGCGCCTCCAGGGGCTGGGGCTTCTTCTCAGCCAAGGAAGTCAAATCACAAAACAGCCAAGAAGAGGATCGTGACCAAAATAAGAACATACATCACTTAGGATTCGCTAGTCGTTACCACCGACACAACTACTAGGTAGCTCTTCAACTAATTTTGCTCGACAAACTCATCCTGAGCCTTCGCCCCATCACCCACCAGATCCCCAGTCGCATCACCCGGATTATCCCCCACACAATGATGGCACCAGAAGTGATTTCCGGGGTCATGTGCCCTCTTCACCGCCAACAACTGCTCATACCCCTTACCACCCCAGTACCTCGCCGTCCAGTTATGCATCACATACGAGCTCTCAGAGAAGTAGCTGTGCGGCCCCAGCTTATACACCGTGTCCTGTGCCTGCTGCGTCGTCAACGTGCGCGCATTCCACAACATGACCGCCGACCGGAAGCCAGGCGAAATGGCCGTGTCGCCAGGCTGCGTGCTGCCCAGGTTACCTGTTAGTGATGTGTACAGGTAGTGGAAGCCGCAGCGGTAGCCCGGCCCTGAGGTGTCCGGCGAGGAGGTGTCGGGGTTTTGCAGGGTGTCGATGCAGATGCCCAAAACGTCCATCATGGTTGACGTGAACTGCGTTTCCAAGGCCTGACGAGAGACGAAGACGGAGTTCTGAGAACCCGTGGCCAAGTCCGAGGGCGGGTGCAGAGGTGCTGGCAAAGGATTTGTAGGGATGAGCGTGAACTTGTTGGGCGGCATGGAGAGCAGGTAGTCATACGCTGACGCGTAGTTGTCCTCCTGCACGGTGTCGTTCTGCAGCACGGCCTTGAGCTCGTCGCGGAACCGGATGTAGTCTGGCTCTGACTGACCGCCGGCGTAGATGTACTCGAATTTGAACTCCCAAGTGACGGAACAGAGGTCGCGCGTTTTTCGTACTGCGTGGTATTGATGAAGAAGCCCGGCTGCGTGCTGACCTTTTGATTAAGGCCTAGTTGCCACTTGGTGAAGCGATCCCACATGCCGGGCAGCCACTGGTAACCGTACTTGCGCGAGTCTGGGCAAAAGGTGCCGTTCTGGTAGATGTAGACGCGGCTGAGACCGCCGTCGGGCACGGCGTGGGCGCGGATGGTCATGGAGAGGATGACGCCCCAGACGCTGCCACCGCCGCCGCGCATGGCCCAGAAGAGCTGAGGATTGCGGGTGCGACTGGCGATCTTCTTGTGGACGACGGACTGGCCGTGACTGTTGCGGCCGATCTGCAGAACTTCAATCTCAAGCACGTTGTCAACGCCGAGGCCCATGGACGGCGCAAACGGCCCATGGCCGCCGCCGAGATGGAAGCCGACCATGCCGACCGTGGAGCACCAGCCCGATGCAATAACGCGGGAGTGGTTTCCTGAGAAGGCGTGCATCTCGGCGAAGGTGGTGCCGGCGCCAAAGCGGAATGCGCCAGCAGGAGCCAGTGTTAGGTCCTCGCTCCAGGTAGGCATAAAGGTCTTGTCCTTAAGCAGAATTGTGCGGATGAGGATGCCGCCAGTCGGGCACGAGTTGCGGCTGTTGTACTCGTGGCCGGTGCCGGAAGTGGAGATACACAGGCGGTGCCGCACGGCAAAGTTGAGAGCGGCTACCACATGCCGCTCGTTGAGCGGGAAGACAACGATGAAGGGGTTCCAGTTCCGGTACTCATTTTGGTGCACAGCCGCCTTGCAAATGTCGGACGCGGTGTTCCACTCGGCAGGGTTTTTGGTCGCGTTGAAACATGGGCGCTGCATCTCGGCGATGTCCTCGTAGTAGTATAACGCCTTGAGGCCCTGGGGCGTGTCACCGAGCCCGTAGAAGGACTGGTCATTAAAGGAGCCCGATGGTACCGGCGCCGGCTGCGGGTCTGGGTAGCTATGCCACCGGACACCGAGTCGGGGCACTGTGGGGTCCAGCTCCTGTTCCAGCTTGCGGATGGCCGTCTGGGTGGGCCAGCAGTCGGGGTCTTCGGGCGTGCACCAGTCAGGTTTGAGTGTTGTGCGCGTATTGTCAGACAGGGAGGGCAGGGTGTCGACGGATACTGCTTCCACCGACTCGTCCGGATCGCACGAACCGGCGCCGCAGAAGTCATTTTCCGGGCCGCACGAGTAGCGACAATGGGCGCTGCACGGGTTGCACCGGCCCATGGCCCATTTCGTCGCTCCGCAGTCGAGCACGGCGTACGAGTACACCGGCTGGTACTGGAACTCGAAGCGACAGGTGGTGATAGTGCCACTGGTGCTGGCGAGGAGCACCAGGCTGGGGTCCTCATCCGAGTGCGAGACTGAGTAGCGCTGTACGGTGCGGTCGGAGTAGTTTGGCCACTGCAACGATGCTTGGCCGTCGGCAGTGAAGTCCCATCGTGCAAGGCCCTTTTCATAGTCGCTAGACACCTGCAATGAGCGCCACGAGCCCAGCAGCGAGGGAGGTGCTCCGGCAATGCCAGGCTGGAAGTGGCTCACAGGGCTGGGCTTGGACTCGGACTCGGGCTCAGTCTTGGTCTCGGTCTTGGGCTCAGACGCCGAGATGGCATCCGGGGAAAAGGAACAGCCCGCCTCTGAAGCCTTACAGCGGAACATGAGAAAGTTGCCGCACCATGTTGTGTCCATAGCGGCGTAGAAGCTCGCTGGCGCCGGCTCTCCGGTGTGGTTGCATGCCAGAAAGGCCACCTCGAGCCCGCCAACATCCGGCAACCGCTGCACCAGACAGTCCTCCAAATGGTCGCCTTCGCATCGCAGGACCAGCTCCTTGGGGCCGCGGCGCGCGTAGGTGCACCTATTGGGGTATGGGCTGTCGGTGGTGACGGTCAGGACGTTGTCCGTAAAGGTCTGCGCAAACTCAAACTTGCCGGACCCGCCCTGCTCGGCGCCAAACGAGCGCCAGGTGCCCTCCCATGGGGAAGTATTTTCGCTGCTTATAAGTGCCGGCATGGCAAATTCCAGTAACGGGAAGCTTGCAGTTCCATTGCTGCTGCTGCTGCTGCCGCTCTCCTTCCGCGGCGCGTTGCTCGTGTTCAGCATCACGGTACTTTCCAGCTGGGCCGGCAGGCATGTGTCCCAGAAGTCACCGCACTCAAAGCACTGGTCAAGGCAGTCGGCCGACATCCGCGGCACGCTCGCCACCTCAGTGCCTGTCCAGCCCTCCGTTGCCAGATACGCGCACTGCACGCAGCGGGTGCTAATGAGCGGCTCTACGTCGTCCAGCTTGACTTTTCCCAGCAGCTGGTTGCGCAGGGCCGGGTTTTCGTTGAACTCGTTGGCAATTACAAACGCTGTGCGGAAATAGTCCTCCTGCGGCAGAGCGGAATGCGGTGCCGTCAGCGCCGGGGATCACTGCGCAGGTGCCGTGCTTCATCCACTCTGACAGGATGAAGCATTGCATTGTGTTGTTGAACTTTGCGTTTGTCGGCCAGTAGTAGTTGAGCAGGCCGCCAAAGGTCGTGAGGATGGTCTCGTCGAACTCCTCGCCGTGCAGGCAGCCGTAGGGCTGGTTGATGGCGCCAGAGCCGTCGGCCGACCCAGGCCACAGACCGTGCAACGTCCATTTGGCCGAGCCCGGTGCGAAGTTGTTGTTCTGCAACGACAACGTGTACGCGTCGACGGGCACCAGACCGGCCGGCTGGTGCCCGGAATTGCATAGCGGGTACGGCGGCGGCTTCTGCTGCAGCTCGCCGTGGTCGTTCAACTTGGTGCAGCCGAGATTCCACTTGAGGTTGCATGTATCGGCGTGGAAGTTGAGCTCGTTGAATTGTCGCAGCGGGATCGGGTTTGAGGAGCAGGCGTCTGACTTGCCGGAGCACCAGGCGGCGTTCGCTGGGTAGACCAGAGCCAGCACCAGCGCAAGTTTGGCGTGCCAGGCCATGGCTGATTTATGTCAGCACTCAGACCTCCCTTCTTTCGTTCTGAGAAGTGCACGTACCTGAGTGACAGTTGGGGGCCTGCTGTTTTATCTCTTCCGTAGCCGATTTATAGCGTTTGTTTGTTGTATCGCAGCTTCGGGCTTCTGGTATCCTCATGCTGTTGGGGATATCAGTTTGAGGGCGGCACACTGACTCTTTATGCAAAGGGAATACACTCGCTTCATGTTGGTGACACGCCCAGTCGCAACCTCTATCTTGGTCAGCTTGACTCAGCTGACGTGATACTTTCACAAGGGTCCATCCCCTCTGCCCAGGCCTTCAACATGAGAGTCATCGCCGAACTAATGGCTCGCTGATCGCCGGTAGCTGTTGCGGGCCGAGTCCAAAACCGTTAGAAGGGGCAGATTCGTGCGAGCTGATGCTCGATGGCAAGCTGAAATAGGGGTCCAACACCATGCCATCGGCGCTGCGTTTCATCAGAGATCAGAAGTTCAGCCAGGTCGAGGCCTCATTCGATGCCCAAGCCACCAGGGGACCGAGGCCTTAATCCACAACGGTTGGAATTTTCCGCACCGAGATTTCAGGACGCCACGGTTCGTTAGTGTCGGTCCAGAACGTGGTCTACACTTCAGCCGCCAAACTACCGGCATCAGGCCCGATGGAACTATGCAGTGAGAGGAGCCGTGACCCTGTCAGGACGGGAGTAACCTCTCCAGTTGGAGTTGACGACTCGGCGGCATTGTGGCTGGAGAATCTGATAAAGTGCCGTCAGTACTGGTGGTCATGGTCGAATGGCAGGGCTGACTTACCTTGACTGCACGGGGCACGTTCGCGGTCGTGAAGCTGTACCATTTTTGGCGCCGGAATGACAACACAACAAGATCGAGGACACTCCGCGGAACAACAATAAAGACAACGAGATAATCGTGCAGAACAATTGCACAAGGACAGAGAAGGATTCGAGAAGGGTTTGATTTAATAGCGCAACAAGACTAACGGTCGCTAATGACAATAGTATGAGCTGAACGACGGCGACGAGGTTGAATCCTTCGGGGCTGTGGTGTTGAAAGTGGACCTTTTCTCAACCCCCCCTTGATGCCAAGCCGTTGTTCTCAAGACCTCAGGTACGTACCGTAGCACGTGCCCATGTACGTATCTTATCGATTGTGCTGTAGACGGGCTGTGGTTGGCCAGATCTGCCAGGTCTTATGGCTCGTGTGGTCTTGGCACATGTGTCCCCAAACCTTCTTTCGACTGCGCCTTCTGTGCTCCCTTCTGCGCAGTCATCTTGGTCTCTGTCAATTGTGACATTTCAACCTTCAGGCTTGCTCGCCGTGCTACCTCATCCACTCACCAAATCGGATTTGTCTTCTCACACACAGTTCAAGTCCAGCCTGCCAGTCGTCTTGAATGGTCTCGCTAAAGTCCCTCGGCCGTTCGCTCCGGCATGTCCGTCCTTTCTCTGATCTACCAGGCTGTAGTGGGAAGAATAAATCCGATTCGAATGAGTCGATGCGGAATACTCGTCAGGTCTACAAACTAGTCAGCCGGTCGGCTTTGCAAACCTGACAAGTACTCGTTCAACCCCGTTACAAAAGATTGTGCCAGTGGGACTTTTTGCACAAGCCGACAAGCAGTTTTTCATCACGCGTGCCAGCTTTCAATAGTGCTGGTCTCTCATGCGAACTAACGGAGTCTTCAGTTTCAGCCTTTCAGCTCACCACGATGTATCGACCATGCTGAAAACAATAGAGGTAGCCCATCTGTCAATAGTAACAGAATGTCGGCAACATTCCTGTACATCTCCTTATGCCGTTCCAAGATGCATGTGCTCTACCCTTCCTTTCTGCTTACACAAAGGCGCTATAGCTATGAGAACATAAATAAGGTAGGATGCTCCAGACAAGTTGACAACGAAGGACAAATAAACGGGTTATATGAAACCGAACCAACCCTTTGACTTCAACTTTTCAATATACGGCCACGCGTGATCCCTTCTCCCATCATGAACACCGAAAGCCTCCCAGACTACCTGACCATCCCGGGAAAACGATCCCCAGCTTTCACTGCCGCGTTGGGAAAAACCACAATGATCGTCAGCCTCAACTAGCCAACACCTACGGGTATCCTGTGCCTGGCGTGCAGTCACCTACTCCCACGTCGGTCATGGCCCTTGACTACTTTGCGAGGTATGAAGCACTAATGATACTTGGTTTTGTTCCAGTTCTGACTTTGGTTTCTACTCAGTGACCAGACCTGGGGCAATATTCTGGCCCATGGAGACTTCGATTACATCGTTATCGGCTCGGGCTTTACTGCTTACGCATTCATCCAGAAGGCACTTGATCTTGACCCAGGTGCCAAGATTCTTTGCTTGGAGCGTGGAGGTAAGTGTGCTTTTCTATCCTATACCGTTATACAAGTGCCCTCATCTCACGCTTCAATCTGTGACAGGCTTTTGGCTCCCTTCTCACTTCCAGAACCTGCCGATCCCCTTCAAAATGGTTCTTGGCGGGCCCTCCGAGACATTCCCCTGGACCCTCTCGCGCAAGACATTCGAGACAAAAGAGCTAAGGTTCTTGCACGGGTCCTGCCCATTCTTCGGTGGTCGATCAACATTCTGGTCCTCTTGGAGCCCGCGGCCGAGTCTAGACCTGATGCGCGACTTTCCCGAGTCCATGAAAGAGACTGCCTCCCACGAGCAATTCTGGACAGAGGCCCAGGAGCTCTTGAACGTCACGCCTGCATCTCAGATCAAAGATGGCGTCTTTGACACCCTCCAGACGGCCATCGATCGCATCCTCGAACGCTCAGTCCACAACATTCCTACGGCAGACTATGCCGAATCGGCACCCCTGGCTGTCGGACGACGCAGCCCGACTTCTCGTCTACGATTCAACAAGTTTTCTGTCCCCGGGCCTTTGCTCGGCATCTTGGAACGCCAGAGGCACTTGAGCAAAACCAACCAGGGAGCGCCTCTGGAAATCATGGTTGACTGCGCAGCGACCAGCATGGCCAAAGGCGACGACGACGATTTTGTCCGTGTCATCGAAACCAGCAAAGGCACGTTGTCGTGGACCGGCAACAAGACTAGGATCATCCTCTGCGCTGGCGCTATTCCCAACGCCACCATGTTGCTGAACTCGTTCGAGAACTGCCGTGATAGCGTCGGTAAGAGGCTTACCGGCCACTTCGTGACGCACATCTCGGCAAGATGTCCCGTGGAGAATATCAAGGGCTGGAAGAAGGAGGATACGCTCCAGATGGCGGCTGCGTACGTGGCTGGCAGAGATCCGAAAACAGGCCTGCAGTATCACGTCTCGGTCACGGCGATGAATAGTCCCAACCCGCACGATGATGAAGAGGACGCGGCGCGCGAGTGCCCGGACTATGCGGCGGCGGCGACGCTGGATCAGCTTGTTGGTTCGGAGGATTACGTTGTGTTCGGTATGCCACCCGCGCCTTTCCAAGCAAAGATCAAAAACTAACCCACCCCTTCAGTCTGCTCAGCCCTCGGTGAATTCACCGAAGCCAACCCCCAGAACAACATCAAGCTCAACAAAGGCGCCGACCCAACCTGCAACGTCACCCTGCAATACACTCTAACCCCCTCAGACTATTCCTGCTGGGACGTAATGGACGCCGCAACCTACGACACCATCAAAGAGATGGCGGGCGGCGACGAGCACGCGTCGGACATCGAATGGTGGGACGAGACCACTCACGGCTGGACCAAGACGAAGCCGGCTGTCGACACCATTCGCATCCCGGGTGTCGTTCACGAATCGAGCACGGCTTTTATGGGACCTAAGGAAGAAGGTGGGTCTGTGGATGAGCTGTATCGGCCGCATGGAATTGAGAATGTGCATGTTACTGGAAATGCACTGTTCCCAACGGCGGGGAGCTGGAATCCTACTATGACCATGTGTGGGTATGCGCAGGATTTGGCGAGGAGGTTGTTTGATTTAAAGGGGAGGGCGGGTTGTGAGGCGTCAGATTGAGTCTTGGAAGGTAACGGCGTCGGCAATGCCAGTTGGATAACATATACATAACTAGATGAGCAATTGGATCAAGATGACAAAGATGGTGAGTTGTGTATATTGCTCCCGGAGTCACTGTAGGTGTTTCAAACACCCTGTATTTAAGGCATAAAGATCAGCGGCCAGCATGCTGGAAGATTAGGTGCTTTTGGTAAACATCATGGGCCATCTCTTTCACGGTCTGCGAATCTATACCATTATACGACGACATCCCACTCTCTAGATAAGCAAAAAAAGGGAAAAGGGAAACGCGCAAAAAAAAAAGAAATTGGAAAAAAGCTCAGCCGCCCGGGGCTGGGGTCGAACCCACAGCTCGGGGCGACCTACGAAAACCCGGTGGTTTTACTTCGAGGGCGCGTCCCGCATACTATACACCTGTTCAGCGGGATAGCAAGTGTACGGGAGTTCTTAGCACTTTTGAACTCCAAACCTATATAGTCCAAAGTACTGCTGCTGAGCTGATCGTACTTCGTCCGTCAGAGTCAAACACACCAAACAGTGAACGGACCATCAGTCGACAGTCGCACGTCGAACATCTTCGGGCATTCATAAACCACAATCATGCATATTACTCAAGCATCAAAACCCATTGCTTCGCCAATCTAGCAATGCTCTTACGTTCCATAGGAGGTAGCGGAAACACTTTTTTACATAGTGTACCAGTGTCGGTAAAGCAATTTAGGCTGCTATAATTCCAGACAATAAGGAGACGGGAGGAGGCCTTGCGGGAGGGGGAGAGCGAGAGTGAGAGCGAGAGCGAGAGCGAGAGCGGAGAGGAGTGATCTTGCCCTTTTCTTTGTCTTTTCCTTTGTTCTATGGGTCCCGCCATATGCTGGCGGCTCGCCCACTGGGCGATTCGATTGGAGGTGTTGGGTGTGACGAACCGTTACAAGCACAGGAGTATATCGCTGGGATGGAACAAAGAGTAACAGTAAGAGTAGCCGCAGGGTACTGGTGTATTGTGATAGCTATTGCTTGCTGGAGATCTGGTAACAAGAGGCCTGGGAAGGCCTTCTTTTATACCGGCCTTCCTGGACCCGACATACCGGACCCGTGGACCCGAGCCTTCGGGTCCAATCTGATTGGTCCGTCTATCTAGCTAGCTTACATAACTCTGGTTGGATCGTAACATTCGGCCACGTTTACGCTACGGGCAACACATGATTTATACTGGCAATAGGCCTCGGGTTGCCCTCGGGTTAATGGTCTTTTGGTGCACATTTAGGGCACTGCTGTTATCTTTGTACGCGAGATTCACCGATGTGGCACGTCTCATGCCCTACGAGAGGCGGAAGTAGACGTTAAAAATAACAACAACAACAACAACAACAAAAAAAAAAGTGACCGTCCAAGGTAACCCAATGCAGGTTGCGGCTGAAGAATTGTTGAAAGCTGAGAGGTTTGTGTACAGAAGGGTCCTTGGGCTCAAAGCAATTCTCTGAATCTAGAGGGTACGAGAAGCACGATTCCTGAGATTTCGATTCGTAAAACTTTGGTCGGTTGCCAGAATTGACGGGAATCCTTTTTCGTCTTCTGAAAGTCGGAGCGGGGCCGCCATTTCAGCGACGCACGGACTAGCAATCCAACCTCTGTGGCATCCAGGTCTGCCTTTGACGTTCTCACCACTGACAGCAGAAGTCCGTGATGCATGTCCCACGATTAGGACCAGCACCGAGGGCAAACAATGATCTGCCGCAACAGCGCGGACTTGACAGTCATGAGACCATCACTGACTTGGTACCCAATCGTCTATGCGCCCGTTGCTCCCGCGCTCTTACGACATCCAAGAAACCCTGGCAATCTAGACCAGCGGATGACGCTGACTGGTCAGGCGACAAGTTTTTCCACAGCAAGAACACGAAACAGATGTTGACGGACTCAGTACTTGCCGCCGGTTGCCATCTGTGCACACAAGTCAGTTTGGATGACAACTTCTCGGGCGCCGGGGACGAACAGAGAGTCATGATCGAATGCAGCCGATCGACGGCTTTAGAGGGTAATGAAAGAGAGATTCCAATCATTTCATTTTCCGCTGCTTCTTGCGCCGAGTGGGACGACAATTGGGCTTCACTGCCAGACCCTTCCAAAGATGAAGAGCCACGAGGTGATTCAACTACAACGCCATTGGCGACATTCAAGCTCGAACGGACGGATGGCGGCGAAGGGGGAGCAAAATCTCTTCTACCCCAAAGACTGCCGGATGGTTCGATGTTCGTGCTGCCTTCCTCGACTGACTCGCCTGAGGCTTTCGGACTTGTGCGACACTGGTTAGATGATTGCCTCAATAATCATCCAGGGTGCAAGAGATCTTCCAAGAAGCCCCCGACACGGGCCTTTGACATAGGGGCTCCAGGGTACGACAGACTTCCAACACGGCTCGTTGATATAGGCTTCCAAGGGTTCAACGGACAGAAGAGGCCTCTACGACCGCACCTTTTCATCCCAAACGCAATCTACACGCCGACCACGACCCCATATCTCACTCTAAGTCACTCGTGGGCCTTGACCGGCAAATCTCTACGGTTAACCACCAAGAATGCCAAGGACTGGGAGTGGGGTGAGTGCCCCGGAGATGGAGGAATACCAATCGACGGTCTAGCCCAGACATTCGTCGATGCCATGCGAATCACACAACAACTAGGGTACCGATATATCTGGATCGACTCTCTCTGTATCATGCAGGACTCACCAGAGGACTGGAACCGAGAGGCCCAGACCATGGCAGACGTCTACGGTAACTCCATTCTGACCATCTTTGCTTCGGGGATGGGCATGGAGGGGGTTCAAGGGGCCACTTCCGACACCTGCTTCTCTGTGCGGAATCCTTTGGAGGTGTATGCCCCCATAATCATGTCTCCTTCGCCGGATGGCGCAATACGGGATGAAGCTCAAACCGAGGAGAATGCCAACATCAACCCGGACAGGAGAGGATGCTTTTACGCTATCCGTGAGAAGTATGAATCCAACGTGGACGAGATGCTATGGGGTGCTCAGCAGAAGAACCCGCTGCTATCACGCGGCTGGATCGTCCAAGAGCGTTTACTGTCGCCTCGCATTATCTACTACGGGGCCGATGAGCTCTACTGGGAGTGTCGTCTCCATGCCGTCTCAGAAAGTTGCCCTTTTGGGACACCCTTGAACAAAGATGCCGAGGCTTCTCGGTCCATCTGGACCGCCAACGCGAAATCCGTGTACCAGATCTTAAAGGGCCCTTTCCCTGCGAACTTTGACACAGACATGAACATGGGTAACAATGACACCGAAGACGACGCCAAATACGCACATTTACTCGAACTCGCTGCCTGTTGGACGACCTTACTCACCTATTACACCGCTACGGAGCTCACATACCCGTCCGACAGGCTCATCGCACTCGCAGGCATGGTGACCGCAATAGCGGAAACCAAAGGCTGGACTTACATCCACGGAAGTTGGCAAGAGCTTTGGCCTTTCGACCTCCTCTGGGGCTTCAGTAGCGTTCTCAACGTCGAGCTATTCAACCCGAGCTGGTATCCCGAAGACAGCGAGGAGCGGCGCAAAGATCGGGATGAAACGGCACAGAGACTGTTGAAAGGAAAATCCTACCCCGAGTCGCAAGCCAGTACAAACCTACGCCTCCCTTCATGGTCGTGGGCGGCTACTGAAGCACCCAAAGATTTCTGGTTCAGCTCTTCTGGGCCACCTGCATGGAAGTGTCAGGTTGCTGTCTTCGGTGGGACAGCCATCACCGGCACAAGTACCTCTAGGCAAGAACAAGGAAGTGGGATACTGGCACTGAGGACGTACAAGAAGCAGTTATACGACATGCCACCCGTCGACTTGACGCTGATGTGGGACGACAACGAATGCTTCTACTCGAAAGATGAAGTTCACTGTCTGCTGGTGCTCGATCATCTTGCCAGGGGCGGGCGACGAGCTCTCCAGGTGGGGTTGATGGTTGTCCAAATCCAAATGACCGAGAATGTCCCGTCGAGGAAAGTCGCCGAGGAATTAGAAACGACGAGAGGAATGCGGTTTAACTGCCGAAGAGTGGGAAAATGGGAAAATGCTTGGGGCCCGCCTGCCATCAACAGGAATAAAGATGAAGAGACGGTGGTGTATTTGTGCTGAGACGATACGATGCTCAGGCGCACGACTGGTGATTGACACAGGCTCTGGGAGATCGCCATCGGATAAGTGATGGCACACATAGCAGTCTCGACCCGCACAAGGGGGGTGGGGAAAAAGATCATCCTTTGTACGCTTCTGAATCACCAACACCACGAGCTTCGACCACATGCGGAAGTGAGAAGCTTGGGTGGTCAATCGGGCGAAGTTCGGCGTAATACTGGAGCGGCTAATGGCGCCTAGCTCCAGGCAGCTGTTACTCAAGTTTGACCTTGATTCCACCTTAAGTTTTTGATCCTCTCCCGAGCAAACTCGCCTATCCAAACCACATCGTCAACCACCGACAACATGGCTGACCACGACACGAACCTGCGCCGTTCCAAGCGTTTACGCACCGAGTCCGAGACTATCAACCGCAAATCCTCTCCAACACCAGAATAGCCCCGTTCCAAGCGCGTACGAACCAAGTCCAGAAAGGCCACTCTCAAAGCCTCTCCAGCTCCAAAGAAATCCGACCAACCTCCAAAGAGCGTCGGTCTCCCCGCCGCTGCCGGCTTCCAGAGTGACAATCCCTACTGCAGACCTCCATATAAACCCATCGAAGCTCCAGAAGGTTTTGATGTCGCCGTCGCTGCTGGCTCCATGACCGCCAGGCCTTACCGGTCTCAACTCAAAGATCTCTCTAGCTCTTTTCAAACCGACCTCCTGGCCTTCGCGGCCACGCGTGATCCCCTTATTGCCTCCCTCGTAGGAAGGGAATTTTCCGCCCACAAAAAGCAGGAAATAGATCGCGTCGCTACAACAGTCGAATTTAAACGTACCCCAGAAGCAAAGGAAGCGCATTCCATGCCTCCAGACACCAAGTCCTCTCCAGTTCCAAAGGAATCCGTCCAAACTCTTAGGTTACCCGTCGCACCTCTAGAAGACGTCGACCTCCCCGCCGTTACCGGTCCTCATACGGCCGATCATTACGTAAACAAACTCGAGAGCCTTTCTAACCCTTTTCGACTCAACCTCCTCGCCTACGCCGCCGTCCGTTATCTCCACATCGGCTCCATGGTAGAAGACAAATACGCTTCCGAGAGCGAACGCCTAAATGCCAGTGCTGGCTCTTTTAAACCCTACCTCCAACGGGCTTATCATCTTCTCAACGAGCGATACGCACATCTTCCCAGCTCCCTGCAGGTTGACCTGGCGCACGCCGTTTACTCGGAGATTGACTCGATAGTCAGCAAGATTGTTGGCGAGGTCACTCGCTCGAGCTCGTTCGAGATGAAGAAGAGCGCGTTGGAGGCGATGAGGCAGATACTGCATATTTTTTGCAAGGTCCCCGAGACGCTGAGGAGAGAGCTGAAGACGGTACGTTTCCACTTGGTGCAGGGTTGGGTGGGCCCGAATGAATTGGTCGAACCCAGCTGGGACTGGAATTTGCTTCAGGTTTTGAAGATGTTTACGCCGATTGAGATGGAAAAGCTGGGTGGACAATGGGACACGACCAGGAATTGTTTTGGGGGATTTGGAGGTTGAAGAATTTGTGGGAAAAGTCTGAGACGGTTAGGCCTGGGACGGCTCACCCTGCGTTCGGGTTGGAGCGGCCATGCGAGATGTTAGGCCGTTATCATCATGTGCCGTTGCCGACCAAGTCGGATGATGATGATCAGTGAAGGGGTGATACGTGATACCCGTTTGCCGAGTGCCGACGGATTCCGCCTGTGCTGCCTATTTTTAGGAGGAGTATATCCTACCCGCACCCCAACGAAACCTACTACAGTAGTACATGCCCATTTCTCGGGTGGAGATAGGGTGCCAGTAGGTTTACTTTTTACTTGGTATAAGTAGGAGCAAGCGGTGACATCACTCCTCCGATCTTCCGAGCTCAAATTCTATAACACCGAATATTTTAGCCAGACACATAACAACCACCACTTCATCACTTTCATCACACAAACGACATCAACACTACAGGGACATCAAACACCAAAATGACCACTCAACACACCGCCTACGCAATCGGTCACGCTCCCTCCCACACCAAGCACCATGAATGGCGCACCGCCGCCAACAGCGCCCCTCGCCTGCTTCCGCACCTCCAAAAGGCCCTCGCCTCCAACCCCAACCTCAAACTCCTCGACATCGGCTGCGGTCCGGGTACCATCTCCGCCTCTCTCGCCCAACACCTGCTTCCCTCGGGCAATGTCCTCGCAACCGACATCGCCGATGACGTCCTTGAGCGAGCCAAGGAGCACGCCATCTCCCAGGGTCTCTCAGTACCGGACAACATCTCCTTCCAAAAGGCATCCGTTTACGAACTTCCCTTTTCTGACAACGAATTCGACATCGTGCACGCCCACCAGGTTCTCTGCCACCTCGATGACCCCGTCGCCGCTACCAAGGAAATGCTGCGCGTCTGCAAACCCGGCGGACTGATCTCGCTGCGCGAGGCAGACATGCGGATGTGGTGTTTCTGGCCTGAACTCCCCTCTTTGCTCAAATTCCACGCGTTGATGGTGGAGGTGATGCTGGCCAACGGCGGGCAGGATAAGGGGGGCAGGAAGCTGGTGTCGTGGGTTATGGGTGCTGGGGTCAAGAGGGAAGCGATTGAAGCCGGGTTTGGCACTTGGTGCTATAGCGCGACGGAGGATAGGAAGGCGTGGGGGGAGTCGATGATTGAGAGGTTGAGGACGGGGCAGATGAGGCAGAAAGGAATTGAGTTGGGGTTGACGACGGAGGAAGGGGTGGAGGAGATGGTTGAGGGGTGGAAGAGGTGGATTGAGAGGGAGGATGCGATGTTGGGGATTGTTAATGGTGAGGTTATTGTTAGGAAGGCGTGATTTCCATCGATGGTGACTTGGGAGAAAAGAATCAGACGCCAAGGTTCCACAGGAAGAACAGGGAATTTACGGGGGTTGCCAGAAACAATGGAAAGTGTGTTGGAAGAAAGGTGCCGTCATTTGCGTGAAACAAACAGTTCATGAATGGAAGGCGCTGCGAACGAGGGGACTTTCAATGAGTGCAAACGGGCACCTGCCGTTGGCAGGCGGTCCTCCTCCATCAAGACTTCGGCACCTGCAACATCATAGTGGATGAGGCAACCTGCCACCTCGTCGGCGTCATTGACTGGGCGGAAGAAGAAGTGTGTTCATTCGTATTCAACCTGTATTCTCTCCGGTTTCTGTCCGGGAAGCTTCATCTGCGCAACGGGTGGACACGGTACGAAGACGACCAAACCTTGCAGGACACCTTTTGGGAGAGGTTCCAAGAGGAGGTCGGCGGCTTATCAGATCATCAGCTACGGACGATCAAACTCGCAAGGGCCTTGGGTCTGCTATTGTCGTTTGGATTCACCAGCCGCCTTTCCAATGAACCCAAGCCGGTGCCAATTACCGATGACGAGCGCGGACGTTACAATATGATGTCTTTGGATGTATTTCTCGTTAGTCCGACCACGAAGTTCGATTTCTAGCTTGAGGCCAGCAGACTATAGTGGGGATAAGCAGCAGAGTGGATGTTGTCCCTTCACGACTTGTTTAACAGCCGAAGATGTCTTGGCAGACTACTTGGATGTTTCCCGGACCACACCCTCTTCTTTCCCTTCATCCATTCCATCATGCCACGGAGGGGGGAACGACATGTCTACATGGACCCCGTCTGCCAATACTTGGGCCACTTGCGATATGGCAGACGGATGCCCCTAAAGCGGCGCATTGTATTGGCTGCCGGCGGTGTTGTTGTTCGTTTGAACTCCTGCGCCCATGTTGAAGTTCATAAACCCGGCTCCCGAGTTGTGAAACTGATCCCGTCCGGCATAACACCCATTTCCCCGAGTCGCACTCCTCTCATCGGCAGAAGATAAGTCTGTCGCCGACCCTCCACCAGACGGTAGCAGCAACCAGACGGTAGCAGCAACAAAGGCATGGTGGGCCGCGAACAA